ATGCCGAACACGAGGCCGCTGAGCTTGGCATCCGCCTCGGCCTCCGACAGCGGGCCGAAGGAGCAGCTCGCCAACTCGCCCTCGGCGTCTTCCTGCTCGCACTCCTCCCACGCGCGCAACTCCGACGAGTCCTCGGCTGACGAGTCGCCCGCCTCGCCGAAGCCAAACGCCCTCCGCGTCGCGGACAACTCCGACGACCTCGACGTCCATGAGGTCGTCCCGCACGCGGCGGCTGAAGCTCCTGTCCACATCCTGCTCGAACTCCTCCTGCGCGTGCAGCTCCGACGAGGCCTCGACTGACGAGCCGCCCGCCTCGCCGAAGCAAACGCCCTCCGCGTCGCGGAGAACCCCGACGACCTCAACGTCCATGAGGTCGCAATCGTCCTGCACGCGGTGGCTGAAGCACCTGTCCGAGCCAGGCCCAGGAGGGGAGGCGGGAAGGTCACCAAATACCAAGAAGGACCCCATCACTGCCTTCGCGAGCGGAAGCCGCCAGCCGCCATCCAGCTTCCAGGCCCTGCCCGAATGCCAGCGCGCGGCCTTCGGCCACCTCGTCGCGAACTGACCAGACCCCTGGGGCATGGGGCCGCAGCTGCTGGAACGGGCGCGCCGCGAGCGGCTGCCACACCACCGCGGTAGGCTGCAGCACACTGCCCGCGTCAACGCCTGCTCCTTGGCTCTGCACCTCCAGCGCCTCGTACACGGGTCCAGGCGCGCCCCCGCCAAAGGCCGCCAGACGTGGCCCCGCAGCCGCCCGCGCGAGGTCCGCCCTCGAGGCCCTCGCAAACCCGCAGGGGGGCGGCTGAGCAGCATGCCGCGCCACGTTGCGGCGGAGACGGGAACTGCCACAGACTCTCCTTCCCGCTGCCGCCGCTCTCAGGGCTGGGCGGGATGCCGCCTCGCGATCCCTCCACGAGCCGGGCCTGGCCCCTTCCCTGTCCCCAGGAGCTCGGCGTAGACCAGCTTCACAAGCCAGCAGCCGCCTGCGTCTCGCCTCACGCCGCGCCGCTGTGGCTCCGAGCCGAGCTTCTTCCCCCATGCGCATGGACCCCCTCTCAGGCGGGCAGCCCCCTGCCGCCATCTCTCAGCCGCCCGCGCCGCGGTCGCCCGAGCAGACTTGAGCCAAAATGGCTACGGACGGTGGAGGTTTTAGATAAGGAGACCTGCGATAAGGAACCCAGAGTCTCGCGACCGATGGGCGGCCAAACGTGGGCCACCCACCTCGCCTTGTAACAGGAAGGAATGCGCTGGGGTCTGGGCCCCAGGGGGACGTTCCTTACCCAATGCCGCCGCCGTAGTACCTCGAGAACGAGGCTGTCACGCTCTGGTGGCGGGCCGCTTGGGCCAGGCGGCGGCGGACGCAGGCACGGAGCTCGCGGTGTTCACCGTCGAGCCGTCGAAGAAGCCACTGAGGCGCCTCCTCGCGTGCCTCCTCGAAGAAGCCATCGAGAGGCGCCTCGTCGCAGGCCTCCTCTGCACCATCGGGCCATCGAAGAAGCCATCGAGCCATCGAACAAGCCACCTCGCGTGCCTCCCTCCGAATCAAGAAGCCATCGAGGCGCCTACAGAGGGCCCCAAGACGCTGAGCAAGACGGCCAAAAGAGGCCGAAATCGTTGCTTCGAATACGGTGTCTCAATATGTGTGGAGCCATCTGCTTCTCTCAGTTCCGACGCTTCAAGACATCCCTAGAGGCCCCCAAGACCGCCCCAAGACGCGCTCAGAAGGCCCCAAGAGGCCCCAAGAGGCCCCCAAGAGGCCCCCAAGACGCCCCAAGAGGCCCCAAGAGGTCCCCAAGAGGCCCCAAGAGAGGCCCCAAACCAGCCCCTCCAGAGGCCTCAAAACTGCCTTCAGGAGGCCCACGACAGGCCTCAACGAGATCCCAACGATCATCCAAGAGGCCTCAGACCCACAAACCAGGCACTATGGCTGGATGGACCGAAGGCCATTAGATAGTCAGAGTCACCAGCAGTAAGAAAGTCTCAGGCGAAATGCCACGCGAGCCCTGCCCATACGTCTCGTGGTTCGTTGAAGCAATATTACTTGAAAATGAAAAGGATGGAGAAAGTGGAGTATGAAGAGGAGGAGGAGGAGGCGGGGAGAAGGAAGAGACTGAGAAGCACGGGGGGGAGGAGAATGAGAAGAAGGAAAGAGGAGGAGGAGGAAGAGGAGGAGGAGGAGGAGGAGGGTGGAGGAGGAACCGGAGGAGAGCAAGGAGGAGAGAGAAGGGAGGAGTGTAGAGGAGAAGGAAGATCAAGACGAGGATCCCGTCCAACTCCCTCCACCCTTCCTCCCGATCTCCCTCCCTCTCCTCCCTTCCCTCCCTCCCGCCCTCCCTGCCTCCCCTCCGCTCTCCCCCTCCTCACCCCCAGAGCTCGGCGAGCGGCTAGGCTGGGATGCCCGCCTTGGCCGCCGTGGGCGCCGGCGAGAGAGGGGAGGCTGACAAGGCTGTCGGTCTGGCCGAGGCCCTCGAACGAGGCTGCCTGCGCACCCACCCACGGAGGCACCCACCCGCCGCAGGTCCCCGGTCGGCGGTCGCTGGTCGCTGGTCGTCGGTCGTCTGTAGTCCGTTGTCGCCGCCACGTCGGTGGTGGTGCTCGTCGAGGTCGTCGTCGCCGTCGTCGCCGCCATCGTCGCCGTCGTCGCCGCCATCGTCGTCGTCTTCGCCGTTGTCGCCGTCGTCGTCGTCGCCAATCGTGGTCCGTCGTTCGTGGTCATCGTCGCCGTCGCCGTCGCTGTCGTCCGTCGTCGTCCTCCTCCTCATGCTCCTTCTCCTCCTCTTCCTGCTCCTGCTCGTGCTCCTGTTGCTGCTGCTGCTGCTGCTGCTGCTGCTGCTGCTGCTGCTGCTGCTCCTCCTCCTCCTCCTCCTCCTCCTCCTCCTCCTCCTCCTCCTCCTCCTCCTCCTAGCAATTCCTCTGGGGGAGGAGGCACGGGGTGCATCAGCCAACTTGGGAATTGCAATGTTGATGCGAGCCGACATTAAGAAGGTGGGAGGCCCGCGGCTTCAGCTACAGCGTTGAAGCCTTGCCCCCACCGAAGCAAGCGCGCACGATTACTTTTCTCTCGTCTCCTCCGCTCTCGTCCTCGCCTTCTCGTCCCTCCCATTGTCATCAAGAATGCGACGCAAGCCACACACCCAAGGGCGCGCTCCGAGTACCTCGAGGAACGCACAGAGAGCCCGACGGCATCCTCCACAGTGATGAGTTCAGGGGGATGGCGACGTGCGAGAGAGAGGAGCAGTGGCAGCAGTGGCAGCGTCACTCACCGTGGAACTCGACGTGACGATTGGACGTTGCGACTCACCGAAGTTGGAGCCCAATGCAATCAGCCACAGTGCGGGCATCGGGACGTGTGAAAACCTCGGCAGTGGCAGCAGGCGCTGTACAGGCGAGAACAGCAGGCAATGTGAGAAGTGGGAGGGGAAGATGGAGTCCGATCTAGCAGGCACCAGCGCCGACCACAGCACATGCGATAAGGGCGCGCAGTGGCAGCAGACGCTGGCGCAGCGAGAAAAGTGCGGGTGGGCCACGACCAGCGACAGCGCTGGGAGCAGCTCGTGCGAGGAAGGGGGCAGGCAGTGGCAGCAGGTGCTGGCGCTGCGGGAAGATGAAGGACGAGCCCGACGCCATCAGCTACAACAGTGGATGCAAGGTCCGTCGAGGGCCAAGGCGAAGTTGGAGCCGGACGGCAGCGCCAGTCACAGCGCGTGCGACAAGGGGGCGCCGCTTCTCACCGAGAAAGGACCGCCGAAGATACGAGCCCAACGTCATCAGCTACAGTGCTGGGATCAGGGCATGACGGAAGCGAAGCTGGAGCCCGAATTGGTCACTACCCGCGCTGAGCGCGCGTGCGAGAACGGCGGGCACTGGCAACAGGTCCTGGCACTGCGCAGCGAGAGGTGGAAGGCAACGCACGAACCCGACGTCATCAGCTATAGCGCCAGGATCAGGGCACCACGCTGGAGCCACCCAACCTATTCCCCCCTCAAAGCTACTCTAGCGGTGGGGAAGGCGAAGCAGGAGCCCGATGCCTTGGTCGTCCACTATGCCGTGCAAAGCGACGGCGACAAAGGCGGGCACTGGCAGCAGCCTCGAACGCTACCCCACGAGAGGTGGAAGGCGAAACATAAACCCAGCGCCATCAGCTACGATGTGGACGAAGATGGAGCCCGATATCACCAGCAATCCGCTGTTTCACTGCGAGGAGTGGGAGGCAAAGCTGGCGCCCGAGCTATATTAGCTACAACGCTGGAATCAAGTCGGGCGAAAAAAGGGGACGACAGGCAGTGGCAGAAATGAATACCAGGCGTGTCAGCAGTGGGGGCACGCGCGTACTGACTCTGCTACAACGCCGAGAGCAGCTCGTGTGATAAGAAGCCCCTCTGAAGTACGCCCTCGAAGGCACTGGTTTTCTGGCTCGGCTCGGGGACGACCCGAAGCGACCAGGCAACCCACGGCGCGATATCTCGGGCCATCGCGACCCGTCTGACCCGCACGACTCCGCATTATTCCTCCTCCTCCTCCCCCTCCTGGGGAGGGATCGCTGAGCAGCGCAAGACAGGAGAACCTTCACTGAGCGTTCCCTGAGGCCTGCTTTCGTTCCTCTTCTACGTATCCCTTCCCCCCGTTGTTTCCCCTGTTTCTCTCTGCCTGCGCCCTCCCCACGATCCTCTGGGTGGGGGCTGGGCGGATGTACAGGCATAGGGTGGCCAAAGGTGGCTGCTCACTCTCATCGAGCGCGATAAGCGCCCATTTGGAGCGCGGCGTCCGCCAAGGAATCCGGTGCTCCCCTCCTCCTCCTCATCCTCCTCATCTTCATCAGCAGCAGCATCATCATCCTCAACACCATCAGCATCCGCATCGTCAGATGCATCATCCTCATCACCATAATCAGCATCAGCAGCATTACCATCCTTATCGCCAGCAGTATTAGCATCGTCCTCCTCCTCCTCATCATCATCAACATCATCATCATAATCATTCATTTCCTCCTCCCTCCCCCCCGCCTCCTCTCCCCCTCCAGGGAGGGGGAGGAGGGGAAAGGAGGAAGAGGCAGGAGTGGGGAGGAAGAGGTGGGATGAGGACAACGGAGCAGGTAGGGGACGAGGAAGGGGGGGGAGGGACGAAGGAAGGAGATAGGATGAATAAAATGGATGAAAGAGCAGGAGGGTGTTCGATTGAGTTCAAATGTCTCGGCGTTCTACAGGTTCATAAGTAATTATGGAAAATATGTTCCATCCCCTTCCTGATCCGCCTCATCCTCAGCATCCTCTTCCTCCTCCTGTTTTCCCTCCTCCTCCTCCTCCTCCATCCCGTCTCCCTTTCACGTCCCAATTATTATCGCCTGGGATGGGGGCAGAAAGGGGCAGTGCCCTAGCTACAGTCTTTGACTCTGATGCGAGAGGGGTGGGGTGCCCCACGCCTGCTATCCCGCGCAATGGCGAGCAGGCCAATATAGAATAACCCCCCCCCCCTCGAAGCAACGCGGTTTTCCACCGAAGAGCTGGGAGCTGCGCTGTGCGCGTCGTATAGCGCGCCCGATCCCAGAGCGGTCACCGGAACTGGTACCAGGTGGGCTACCTGTCCCGTGCGGCGTCCAGAGAGGCAGGACCCGCCGGGTGCTAGGCGTACCGGCAGAGGGTCGAGATGAAGAAGTGGACGACAGGCAGGGGCAACGGGGTGGGAAAAGCCTGCGCCCTCGAGCCCGCTGAGGAGGAGAGGAGGAGCACAGCATGCTCATGACCACCACCCTTTATCACCTCCCAACGTGCCTCCCCCGAGTCATGTGGCGATGACGCTGCTATCCTATTGCCAACGATGATATCCTTCAGAACCTGCCCTTCCTTCCCCTAACTGATGCTGCTATACTCCTTCCCCTCCTCCTCGTTCCCGTGCCCCCCTCTTCCCCGTCGCCCTCCTCCCCCCCACCCTTTAGTTGTTGTTGCTCTCTAACTATATGTCTTCCTGTCTCAGTATCTTCTTCTCTGTCTCTGTCTCTGTTTATGTTTCTGTCTCTGTTTCTGCCTCTTCACATATATATATATATATATATAGCTTATATGCACGAAAGGGAGCCGAAAGCGA